GAGAAATGAGACAGAGAAGACAAAAAGAGACACTTTTTGTCCAGGTTGGCCAATGAAATTTATTCAGTATCATCTTTTTTTTTTTTTTTTTTTTTGCAGTTTTTGGCTGGGGCTGGGTTTCAACCTGCTACCTCAGGTATACGGGGCGGGCACCCTATCATCTGATTTTTAATCTTAAACCGTGCCCTGCTTTATGCTGTAATCTTCCTCTGCTGCCACCAAATCTCCAAGAAATGTCTACTTCACACCACATCCTTGTCTTGCTGGGGTTTCATGATACACTGGGTTTAGGGACAGAAGCAAATTGGAGTAAGCAACAGTCGTGGTCACTGGGAGGAAACAAGGCCTATTGGAGGACAAATCATCGCTAAGAGAACGTGAACACCTGGGAATTCTAGGACCACCTGGGGAGGACCCTGACCTGACTGGTGATGGGGTCATCAGACCTTTAAAATGGATACTGAAGTTAAGATATGGGTGGAATTAAAGACATCTGGGTTGCATGTGTTTCTAAAACCACTGCTGTTTCTTTCCCTCATAAGAGACAAATCTCTATTTTAAAGATTTAATCTTAAGCACCACCTAGTAAACAAAATACATTTTGGTTGAATTAACTTGAAGCCATGAACACTACAGACTCAGAAGTTGCATGGCCATACAATCGATGCTACCATGGCGGGGGGGGTGTGCTAGGTAATGTAATTTCCGAAATTCTGGCTGCCTCAAAGAGAATTCCTCAGTCCTCGAGAAATAATAAAACAAAACTTACATGCGGTTGCATTTACTACATTTATTGACCAAATAGTATTTTTTAAAAGCAATGGCCCTTCAATTTTTTTGTCCTGGCCTAGGGAGTACTTACTCATGGCTTAGGACACATCCCTACTTTCTTTAAACAAATATGGGGAACATAATTTAATGTTTACCTGCTATTTCAGGTCATCACGATAATATCAGTTATTAAGTGGTGCTGAGAGCATTTACACCCCTTCACAAAAGGGGCCTTTGCCGTGACACTTTTGGGGTGCTTGGGTTCTATTTCTCTAATTTCTGTTCTTTCCAGGGGCTCAGCTGTCATTTCTCAATGCTGTTCATGCACAAACTATAGATACAAACCTTTTGTGCTTACATTTTGCTGCCTTAAATATTTCCATGGCTCTGGCTCCAAAGAACTAGAGGATTGGGAAACTTCATTAAAAAAAAAAGAAAAGAAAAGAAAAGAAAACCTGGCTGTCATTCAGCTGGAAATACCAAAATACTATTTGGGCTTTCTATGTTAAGAAGAGACATATTTGCTCTATAAAGTTAAAACGTTTTTGCTTAAAATCCTAATATAATAGCACTCAAAAAGTGGAAAGCTTAGCTAGATTGTATTTTATACTTGTTTAAGATTTCTTTCCTTCTAATTTTACCTCTTTTCCAGAGGATTTCAAAAGAAAAGCAAATGCATTTAAGAGCACAGGTGATCAGTATTTCCTAATATAAGTTGTGATGATTAACAATCAAAGACAACCGCTGGGAGAATAAAAGATCCAAATGATGATGGAACTCTAGTTCATCAAATTACTTTTCACTTTCTTATCAAGAAAAGTACTTTTTACTCTAATAGGGTTTTGCTCACGTGACAGCAGGAGAGATACTAGGCCAGCGATTACATTTAATCCTTTCAAAAATGACCTTCTCTGAATTATTCGATACTGTGTAGTATTTTTAAATTATCCTATAGCTCTCCAGAGCCTGGGAGGTTGCTTTGGAAAATGGCAGGTCTTCTGGAATGTTCTAGTAGATTTAGGTAAAGATACTTCTAAACAGCTTACACTAAGCTTACACTCGGCCATTGACTGGGTAAAGATATGCTACCCCAATATATGGGCCATCTTGCTATTTGAGGCAACAGCAGAAGCAGGAAGGTCACTCTCACCTTCCCCTTGCCCTTCCCCCTGCAGCAGGTATGAAGCCAAGCTGACATTCCTCAACAGTAGATCATGGAAGACCCTCATTCCAGAGGGGGTCCTCTCAATACATGGAGGAAAGAAACGTCCTTATTTCTTAAGACCAAGGGACATAGAAGCATCTGAACAAGCAGGCCTTGCCAAGTCCCCCTTGATTTATTTCTATTAGGTCATAACCCCTTTGTCCAATCATACGTTTGCACAACTGGCCACTCTCTCTCAAATCTAAGCATAAAAATATATAGGTTTCCCTGTTTCATTGGGTCTTCATTTCTGAAGGCTCCCAAGCCAAGTAAAACTTACATTAAATAATCTTATATACTTTTGGGAGGCACCTGTGGCTCAGTGAGTAGGGTGCCAGCCCCATATACCAAGGGTGGTGGGTTCGAACCTGGCCCTGGCCAAATTGCAACAACAACAACAACAAAAAAAATAGCCAGGCGTTCTGGCAGGTGCCTGTAGTCCCAGCTACTGGGGAGGCTGAGGCAAGAGAACGCTTAAGCCCAAGAGCTGAAGGTTGCTGTGAGCTGTGATGCCATGGTACTCTACCAAGGCCGACAAAGTAAGACTCTGTCTCAAAATGAATAAATAAATAAATAAAAATAATCTTACATACCTTTTCTTGTTAATCTGTCTTTTGTTATGGGTTCTTAGCCATTACCAATGACAGGGGAGAAAAAGATAATACTTTTTCTTCTGTATGCCATCACCCTGGTGACACAGGTACCTAACTTATCCAGCTTACCTGGGAGAACGACTTGAATATGTACTCAAGTTAGTCCTGGGACTTCTCTGCAACTTCTGTAAAGTATGTAGGTAACAGCAGTCAATTACACTACTTTTACACAATGGGTGTGTACTTTTCACACCAGGTGTAAACGATATAAAAGTTTGGTAGTGATAAATTTTTACTTAAAAGCCGAAAATTTCCTATCGTTTACCCTGATACTTTGAATCCCTCGAAGCTCAGATCCTCACACAAGTTATTATTAAGTCCTTTCACCACTATCAAGAAAATGAACAAATAAATAAAAAGACTATGTTGAAACGAATTGTATCTAAAATCCTTTCTGATGCTAGACATCTACGTTGGGTTTGGCAGTTGCAAGCATTCTGCTAGTCCATGGAGAGAGAAAGATAAGTAAAATAAAGTCTCTGACTTCAAGAAACTCTGAGTATAGTAGGAGAGACAGAAACATTAAAATGTGAAGGCAGTGTCATGGGTGCAAAGGTAGGTTAGTAGTCACACAAAGAAGTCACCACCTATTTGAATGGATCAAGAAAGCTATCACAGAAGTGGAGATTTCTCATCTGGGTTCTAAAGGACGAGTCTGCCAACCAAATACATTGAAACAAATGCATTTTGGGAAGAGGGAGTAGCCTACACAAAGCATGTAAGGGAACAGTTCACAGGGAGGGGTACTGTAAATGGTTTGCTATGGCTATAGCAGAGAGTGTGTACAGGAAACTGGTAGAAAATAAGGGTATAGTAATTAGGCAAGAATCAAATTATAGAAGGCCCTATATTTCATTCTGAAGAGTTTCCTTTATCTTACAATGGGAAAGCATTCTGTATAAAGGAGGAACAGGACCTGATTTATATTATTTTTAAAAGATTATTCTACGATCAAGTATAGCTGAGAAAACAAAAAAGAAAAAACAAAACAAAACAAAACAAAGGCTAGAAGAAAACTCCCCCCAAATTACCAGCAGTTGCCTCTAGGTGGTAGAATATTATTTTGTTTCTTCTTACAGCAGAATGCACTTAGTTGTTATTTCATGGAAGCCGTAAAATTTCAGACATATAAACAGCCGTCAATCCATTATTTTAGTTCAAAGGTGGACTAGTAGCCACCGTTGGGCCCATCCTTTCTCTTTATCAATTCTGTTTACTTCAAAAGCCACTATCCTTATAAATCCAGACAGTACTGGGATACACACTTTGGAAAAACTAAGTTAACAAGTATTAAGTTATGTTAACCCACGGAAGACCTCATGCAAAGATAGTTTCTGCATCTTTGGGAGGGTCAGCCAATTAGCCACCAGCTCTGACTCTAAATGCATTTTTAGTTAAGTTTCACATTTTACTTTGTCCTAGAAGCAATATCAATTTCATAAGCCCCTCCTCAGGTCACCTCAAATTCAAGTATCATCTAAGAAAAGCAATGTATTTACTATGCAACAAGGCTTCAACGCCCCTACCCAGCCCTTCTAAACAGATTGCTGCCCCAATGCCCTTGCTCTACAGGAAGGTCAGGGCCATCATCACCTTGCAAGGGCACAAACAATGAATGAACAGAAGCAGGGACAAGCAAAGCTTTGGACACCCTGGTCTGTATAAAGGCAATGAGCAGAGCAAATGGCTGGCACAAAGTCTGTCATCACCCCATTTACAACAAACAGAAAGCTCTGCCTGGAGAGCCTGCCGAAAGCCCTTCATTAAACAAAACTCTTACGATGTGAAACTCATCTGTAAAATGAGAACAAAAATAGCAACAATTAAGCAAACAATACCCATAAAGTGCTTAGAAGGATGTCTGGCATATAATGAGCACGCAATAATTTATAGTATCATTGTCATTGTTATATCTCCTAACTTGTCTCTTTCCAACTGTTCCAACATATAAATCTCAAAAATGTTCCTATTTATGTCAAAGAATATTTACTCAATACTGCAATTAAAATAATTATTAGAATGTTTGGAGAGAAAAGATGAACAACACTTTCTTACCTCTTCATATCTGTCAAAAACCGCTCCTTCTTGCAAAAAGGAAGGAACTTCCTTCTGCCAGTTAAATTCGTAAGGTTTGGCCATGATTATATTCAAGACCTAAAAAATGAAAAAGAATTATCTCATTAGCATATAAAATCAAGAAACAAATGAGGATCAAAGGTTCATCGCCTTATACCTATGGCTCTTTGCGAAAGCTTTTCTTTAAATATGCAGAATACATCTTTATTTTTTCTCTCCTCTGATTGCCAGCTTTCTTTCTCCTGGTCTCTAAACATGGAGAGAGAGAGAGTCATCAAGAAATAAAGGGAGTGATCATTTGGGAAGCTTCTCCTCTCTCTCTCCAAATCCTATGAAATAATAAAATGTACATTTTTCTAAATCTGATGGCATCAGATAAAAGAAAGCAAGCGAACACCGAAATGTTCTGAAGGCACTACCAGCCTGAAGGTGGACACCTGGGCAGGAGGAGTCCACGGGGAAATAAGGAGCAGAGCCAAGGAGGAGAAGCCAGAGTTTTCTA